GACTGATCTTTGCTAGCAAACAACTTGAGGATGGCCGCATCCTTGTGGACTACAATATCCAGATGGAATCGATCCTTCGCCTTGGCCAACACCTCCGTGGTGGAATGCAGATTTTCTTGAGGACATCAAGTGCGAATACCATCAATCTGGGATGCAGAATCCGATACCACGACAATATGAAAGCTAAGACTCAGGATAGGGAGGGAATTGCACCAGATAGAAGGATCTTTTGCAGGGAAGCAGCTGAGAAAGGACTTCCGCTGACAACAACATCCAGAAGAACTCCGTACCTTGTCCTTAGTTCCATGGTGGCTTCTAACCTGTTAGTGATGGTCGTAATGTTGAATCCGGTCTCCTTTCTGTCTGTTTGATCATCTGTTGCTTTTCTTGGTGTGTTGTGTCCAATGGGGATCTTGAAATGTGGCGTGGTTCGTTCATTATGACTTTTGTGTTTCTGTGTTGGGAATAAGCAAGTGGATTGATATCTTGAATGTCAAGTCTCTGCATGTAGTTGGTGAATTTATCTTGCTCCCCTCTTTCACCACTGATGTTGATGCAGCTGATGTCGTCTCCACGTGATAATTGATGGGTCTCACCGAGAAAACCAAAAGAGATGCATATCTTGTCGGTTCTTCAGACAGAAGTGCTCAAGTTTCCCGTTACGTGTGATGCCCTTTTTTGTTTCAACGAGGAAAGCAGAAAACGATATTGACAATGATGAGACTGTCGAAGTAATGAGGAGGACCACTATAAGCCCTATTCTCTTCTTTGGTATCAACTCTACTGGGTTTGTGGTAATCGTAGGCTTTGTTACTTGACGTGTGGCTCAAGATTGATTCAGCAATGTCGTGGAGTTCCCAGCTCAAGTCCAGCATCTAGGACAAAGAGGGAATTTCTCCTGGTCGACAGAGATTGATCTTTGCTAGCAAACAGCTTGAGGATGGCTGCATTCTTGTGGACTGTAATATCCAGATCCTTCGCCTTGGCCTATGCCTCCACGGTGGAATGCAGATTTTTTGAGAACATCAACTGGGAAGACCAGAGAGGCGATACCATCGACAATGTGAAAGCTAAGACTCAGGATAAGCAGGAAATTCCACCAGGTGACCTGAGGTTGATCGTTGCAGCGAAGCAGCTGAGAATGGAAGAGTTTTTTGCACTGTATCAGCTGAGAATGGAAGGACTTCCGCTGACAACAACATCCAGAAGAAATCAACTCCGTACCTTGTCCTCGGTTCCATGGTATGTAACCTGTTAGTGATTGTTTTGTTGTGTCCCTGTCTCGTTTCTGTCCATATGGTTGCTTTTCATGATGTGTGTGGCTAATGGGAAACTGGAACTGAAATTTTTCGTGGTTCTGTACATTATGACTTTTGTGTTTCTGTGTTGTGAATAAGCAAGACGATGGATATCTTGACTGTGAAGTTCCTTATGTCCGGTAGTTGGTGACTTTATCTTTATCCCCTCTTCACCATTGATGCAGCTGATCTACATTAACTTTGCCTTTGATGCCATCGCCTGCTTGATACTTGATGGTCAGCATTCACCTAGAAAAGCAAAGGGGACTCATATCTCGTCAGTTCTGTTATTGTCAGGAAGAAGCGCTCAAGTCTGCCTATTTATTTGTGTGATTGCTCATCTTGTTTTGCTTTTCCTCTTTTTTTTTCCCTTCTTTTTTTAAATCACGAGTGCGGATGACGATATTGACAATGATGAGGTTACAGTAACGAGGAGAGCACTATCTACCTCTATTCTCCTCTTTGATATCAATTATGCTGGGCTCCCGGTTCTCATAGGCTTTGTTACGTGGCGTCTAGTTTAAGATTGATCCAGTAGCTTCGTGGAGCTTCCAGCTTGTTCGATTTACTTTCACACTAAGGAAATCTCACGAGCGCCACAGTACTGAAGTTTATACGAATTTGTGATTATAAATATAAAGCAGATTTTACTGATTAGAACTGCAACAAGAGACTCATAACAAACTACCTTACTGGTCCCTAGTGACGAGTACAAGGCCAATAACCAACACTTGTTGCAATTTTTTGGGGATGATGATTAACGCCTGCATACATTTTGGACAACCTTGATCTAAATGGGAATCACCAAATCAGAATTTCTGAATCTGGACATGGAAATTGAGCAGTACGAGGCTGACGGTTGTGTATCCCATTATGAATAATCCTAGTATGAAGTTGATGCTGTACTGACAGTTGTTCGAGCCTGCTGATGCTGTTGGTTCCATCTAGTGAAGCACACTACTTGGGAACTCTTTATGGAGCTCATCATCTATTGAGGTGCACCACTTGACTTTCCTGTCTCTTTTCCTTCAAATGGAGGTTCACATATTTTGTGAATGCCTGTTTTTATTGGCAAGAAAGTGAGTGTGACGACCCGGCCGGTCTTCTTAAGAATTAACACCCCGATCCCCTATTAACTGCATTTCCCAAGTTTATTTCTGCTAATGTGTTTTGCCGGGATGTTCGGTTTTGAGTCTCGAGGAGTTTTGGGACACTTAGTCTCTAAATGAGAGCATAAGTGTTGGAAAGTTGACCGTAGTCGGAACAGTGTGAAGACGGCCTCGGAATGGAAATCCGATGGTTTTGTTAGCTCCGTTGGGTAATTTTGGGGTTAGGAGCGTGTTCGGATTGTGCTTTGGAGGTCCGTAGCTAATTTAGGCTTGAAATGTCGAAAGTTGAATTTTGGAAGTTTCCGGTTTGATAGTGAGATTTTGATCCGAGGGTCGGAATTTCGAGAGTTGCAGTAGTTCTGTTATGTCATTTGGGATATGTGCAAAATTTCAGGTCATTCGGACGTGTTTTGGTTGGGTTTTTGATCGAAAGCGGAATTCGGAAGATTTTAGAAACTTAGGCTTGAATCCAGTGTGTGTTTGGTTGTTTTGATGTTGTTTGAAGTGTTTTGAAGGTTTGTACAAGTTTGAATAAGGTTTTAGGATATGTTGATGCCTTTGGTTGAGGTCCCGGGGGCCTCGGGGTGATTTCGGAGGGTTAACGAGAAAATTTAGAAAATGTTGTAGCTACTGTATTTTTGCTGCTTCTAGTATTTTCGCATCTGCTGTTTGGGGATCGCAGATGCGGCGTCGCAGAAGCAGATTTTGGCCTTTACTTCAGGTTCCGCAGCAAACATATAAATGCGGAAATCGCTGGGCAGAACATATAAATAGTTACCTTCGCAAATTTGAGGGATCCTTTCACCATTTTCATCCGGGTTTGAAGCTTTTAAGAGAGATTTTTGAGGAAAACAAAGGGGAATCACTTGGAGGTAACATCCTTGACTTCGTAACTCGTTTTTATGTGATTAAAGACCTAATTAGCGGTGAGAAATTTGGGAAAAATGGGTAATTAAGGCTTGAGTTTAAGAGGCCTTAAATGAGGATTTGAGGGGTCATTTGGATTCCGATTTCAGTGTTCTTGTTATGTATAGACTCGTGAGAGTACGAGGTTTCTGAAAATGTAAATTTAACCCGATTTCGAGACGTGGGCCCGAGGGGCGTTTTGGTCATTTTACATAATTTCGCGTATTAGCTTAGAATTTAATTGTAGTTACAGTTACTTGAAGTGTTACTTACATTATGCGATTGAATTGAATAGATTTGGGCCATTTGGAGTCGAGTACTCGTGGCAAGAGCGTGGTTTCGGGTCGACTTTGAGCTGGTTCAAGGTTAATGGCTTGTCTAACCTTGTGTGGGGACCTTTCCCTTAGGATTGATATATTTGGTAATTGAAATGGCTTGTACGTGAGGTGACGAGTGCATACTTGTGCTAATTGTTGGAAATCCGGTTTTCTTTAAGTACTTACTAGTATATTTCCTTTTCTGTTTCTATTACTTGCACTGTTAAGCCTGTTGTTAGCTTAGGAAAGCATGTCTAAGTGACTTAATTGCTTCATTTGATTTAACCTGCCTTACTTGAATTATGTGCAGCATGCTAGGCTAGAATCATTTATTGCCTTAATATGAATTTTTCTATTTCTGTTTATCTTCCTGCTGCTGCTGTGTATTTATTTTGGGACTATGGATGTGGACTTCCGGTAGCTCCCCCTTGTCTGTTTACTTTGGGACTACGGGTTAGATTCCCGGTAGACCCCCCTGTACATTTACTTTGGGACTACGGGTTAGATTCCCGGTAGACCCCCTGCACAGTTATATGGAACTACGGGAATGCACCCAGTAGATTCCCCCAGTACTGGGTATTTACATTTGGGACTACGAATCGAGATTCCGGTAGATCCCTGCGCATTCATAGTTGGACTATGGGACGGGATCCTGGGAGATCCTTCGGACATATATATGATGGACTACGGGACGGTATCCCGGGAGATCCACTGGACAGTTGTAATTGGGACTACAGGACAGTATCCTGGAAGGTATCCCGGTTGTTATTTCTGTGTTGAGCTGTATTTCTTTCCGTGGCTTGTTTTGTCTCTGTTCTAGTTGTTGTGGTTCTGTCAATTCTATGTTATTTCTTACTGTTGCACTTATTTATACTGTTTTATTCCACACTGTAACCCTTATATTGTATTTAACCTCAGTAGGGCCTGACCTTCCTCGTCACTACCCAACCGAGGTTAGGTTTGGCACTTACTGAGTACCGCTATGGTGTACTCATGCCTCTTTTGCGCATGTTTTTCATGTGCAGATTCAGGTACTTCTATTCAGGTCTACCATCCTTGAGGGAGGCGACTACTTAGAGATTTCGAGGTACATCTGCCGCGTCCGCAGACCGAGGAGTCCCTTTCTATTCCTGCCTTTTAGTATTTAGCCCTTCTGTACTTTCTGTTCTTATTAGACAAATTCCGGAGTTAGAGCTATGTAGTATTTTTTTTTTTTGCTTGTGATTCGTGGGTTTCCGGGTCTTGGATTTGGATATTAGTTTTGAGATTTATATATGGTGTATGCCGAGCGGCACATTTAAACATTGTTACTGCTTTATTTCTGTTTTAAATTGTATACTTCCGCAAATTAGGCTTACCTAGTCGTAGAAACTAGGTGCCGTCACGATGGTTCACGGAAGGCGAACCAGGGTCGTGACAGTGAGCTAAATCTCTGATTCTAATAGTTAAGAGACAAATGGATAAATTGTTAATGCAGTGGTACTTTTCAAGGTAGAACCTTGGATTGTTCTTTTTTTCTGATCCTTCTAAACTTAAGTTTCAAGAACCATATACAGGAGTGATGAGATATACATGGCTGCGTGAAGGAACCAACTCCGATATTATTTTCTCTAATATCTTTTCGTTTGAAGTCTTGCTTTCTCTCTTACTTTGCTATTTCATATGTCTTTCTCTAGCCAGTTCTCGTTTACAGTTGTGTTTCTTGCAGAAAATATTGTTTACAATTGAAGGGGAAAACAACATCAAGCAGAAGTCAACAACTGTGTACCTTGTCCTCCATGGTGGCTTCTAACCTTTTATTGGTGGTCGTTATGTTGTGTCGGGTGTCGTTACTTTCTGTTTAGTCGTCTGTTGTTTTCCATGATGTGCAGTGTCGATTGGGAAACTGGAGTTGAATTTTCGTGTGGTTCTGTTTATTGTGACTGCTGCGTTTTGGTGTTGTGAATAAGCAAGAGGATGCATATTTGAATATCCTGTGCTCTTTTGGTGGTAGTTTGTGAATTTTGTCTTGCTCCCCTTTCACCATTGATGGAGCTGATCTACATTTCCTCTGATGCCACTCCTGCTTGATAATTGATGGTCAGGTATTCACCTAGAAAAACAAAGGAGATACATATCTTGTCACTTCTGTTATTGTCAGAAAGAAGTGCTCTCTTCCCTGGTATACGTGTGATTGCCTTGTTTTTTTTTTCCTTTTTTTTTGTTTTGTTTTCAATCAGGAGGGCAGAAGACGATATTGACAATGATGAGAGGAGAGCATTATGCACCTCTATTCACTTCTTTAATATCGGCTCTGGCAGGCTGTTTGGTAATTATGCTTAGCATTCCTAGCTTTTACTTGGCTTCTAGCTTAAGATTGATTCGACAACATCAGGTCCTGGATTTTTTCTTCACTTCAAGTATTTTGAATCCTAGATCTAATTTTTCCAGTTAGGATATCTCACGTCCTCGGCAGTACGTGTTACTCACAGTGAGTTTGTGTTCAACAGCGACAAGGTAGACTTTACTGATAAAAACTGCAATAAGAGACGCACAACAAGCTTACTTACTGGTTTTCTAGTAATAAGTATAAGGCGATTTAATAATCAACAGTGCTTCCAACTTTTTTGGGATAAGGTTCGACGCTGCATACATTTCAGACAACCTTGATCCGAGTGACATCACCAAATGATTTTTTCTGAATCTGGAAGAAATTCGAGCACCACGAGGCTGACGGTAATTATCTTGGTATGAAGTTGATGCCATATGGGCAGTTAAAAACTATTGGAGCCTCTGCTGATACTGTTGGCTCCAATGAGGCTCCAACAAGGGGAGCACCCTAATTAGCAACTACTCATGGAGTGCATATCATCTCTTGAGGTGCATCACTTGAGTCTTCCCTATCTCTTTTCCTTCAAATAGAGGGGCATGAGTTAAGCATATAGTTGATTGCTCTTTCGTCTCTCTCTGTAGGCTAACAGAGCCACTGCTCTTCGAGGTGATGAGGTGTAAGGAATATAATATCTAATAGCAATAAGAAAGAAGGTATATAATATCTAACGCTAATAGTTAAAGACCACTGGTTAAACTGTTTATGCAGCTCTATTCTTTAAGGTAGAATGTTGGATTGCTTGTTTTCTCCGATCCTTCTAAACCAAGTTTCAAGAACCATATACAGGAGTGTGATGAGAAAATAGAGTGTGAAGCGAGACCACCATCAGACGGCCATTCTCTTCCCATAGTTTTCCCTTTCAAGTCTTGTTTTCTCTCTGACATCGTTATTTCATGTATTTTTCTCTTAGGTAATTTCTCATGTAAAATTGCATCTGAAGACAAATGTCTCGGTTGTTTTACACCTGTTACGGTAATTAGAGCAAGGCAATGACAGCGTCCGAGAACTTACTCAATTTGTCTGTATGTGCCAGCCCATGAAAGACTGGGTACTATAAGAGTAATATTTATTAGTTATCTGTTAAACATTTATGTACAAGATGTCTGCTACAATTCTAAAAAAAGCATTTGTACGAGATGTGAAAGGAATTTTGAGCAGTTATGTTGTTGATCAGGCAAAGTTGTCAATTTGTTGCATCAATGGTCAAAGGGGGCAAGAATAGAGGCTCTCCAGGGGCTCTGTTTATGGGCTATTCTGGAGGTTAGGATATCTTTGTTTCCTTTTTCACTTCGGCACATTTTATGCTTTTAGACATTATATGTGAATTTTTAGTGCTATTACTTGGGTACATTGGGCTCTAACTATTTCTCAACACTAGTGGCAGTGTTGTACCTTCACTTTCATCACTTGGGCTTCATGGTGGTAAGCTTTGAAGGAAGGTCTCCAGTTCTCATGGGTCATCTATATATGTCATTGGTCTTTTGCAGGAGGTGCTCAACATGAAATGTTGGGAGGAATAGTGAGGGATGTCATTTTCACTGTTCTCAAAAAGGGAAAAAAAGAGAGGCGATTGTGAATTGCGATGGAATTGTTATGATGCACAATTAATTTGCTTACTTCTACTGTCTTAACAACCTGCACGTTGGTCTGTTGTGCTTCTTTTGAGTTTTCTTTTTGGTGGGTGCTTTCAAGGTATTAACTGGTCCGTTATAGTATTATGGATGTGAAGCAAGTCTTTATTCTGTTTCCCGTTTAACGATCTTTAGTTTTTATTTCATTTCAGGTTAGTTCGTTGATCAATCACTATGTGCCAGTTGGCTTGATAGTAATGAGGATTGATGAGGGTATTCTGCATATAGAAGGTTTTTGACTTGCTATATTATGAGTAAAAGTGCCTTATTTCAATTGAATCATGCATGTCATGTCTTGTGGTACCCATGCAATTGGTCTAGCTAGTTTATTTTGTCGAACCAAAGGAGGGAGAAGCAAAGAAAGAGCTTGTTTTGAGCCCGGTATTGGAAATCTCCTCTTTAACTTTGAGTTATCTCATCCTTTTTCGGTGTTTACGCGCTAATCTCAATTTCTTTAGTGTACTCACGTTGTTTAGGTAAGGTTATGTCGGCTTGGTACACACTTTGACTAATGCATCGGGTACTTGCTACTCCCGCAAGCATATGTATCTGGTAACTCTATTTATAGAAGATTACTTGGTGTCTGTTTGGACCCTTGTTCCCATGGTCCATCTTGCTTCATTACCCGCTAGGCAGCTTTAATGTTGAGTCGGCATCATTGATGCGAGGTGAACTTTTCAGTTGATCCATTTGGGAAGAAAGGCGTTAGCATCCTGGAGTGCGTGAAGTGACTGTTTTCTTAAACAGGCTTGCACTGAAAAAAAGCTATGCGGACAATGACGAGACTGGATAGTTGAGGTTTTTGGTGTTGAACACTCGCTTCCACTTGACTCGTCTTATGGTTGTCCTCTGCGTTGTCAGGAATATTTATCGCTGATCTTGCCTCTGAAGCTGCTCTTGAGGTGAAGAATACGTTTCTGTTCGTGTAATATTATCCCCTCGTCTCCTTGACTACTCTGGTAGCACTAGGATTTAAGAAGGAAGTATACTTCTATCCTCTGAATCGTTTATTATTTTATATTTGTATATTACGTTAGGTGCAATGGGCAAGGTGGATTTGCTTTCTCGTGGTTCTGAGCATGAGGGTTGAGATGGAAAAATGATAGCAGTGGAGCACCAAAGTTTGCACATCATCTTTGTTCAGATATACTTGCATCTGTTCAATGTGACTTTTTCTGTGGTTTTTTGGATACATGCTGATGTTTATGCACGTAAATGGGCTTTCAGAATGAATGTGAAGCAAGTCCCGGATTGTGTTCAGCTATGGGTAACTGTGTGAAGAATTTGATAGTTTTAATTGTGGGTAGTTGTTCTGCTTCGAGTGCTGGTGTGGCGGAACTTCTGAGTTATTCTCTTTGAGAAAGATTACATGCCTGATTAATTGCATGTATCTGTCATCAATGTAATTGGTTGGGAGGTTGTGATTTTTGTGGCCCCACTGGTGGGAGAGGTTGGACTGCTGCTTGATTTGAATATCTTAACGTTTGGCTTTGACTCATGGATGGGTCTCGTGTATGTGGATAAGCGTTGTTGGTGGTATGGAAGTCCTACAGTTTACCTGTTCATACAGAGTCCAGGCAAATCTTAGCATGTTGAAGCAGCAGATTTGTTGGTGCTATTCTGCTGCTTCCTCATTTGTGGACAACTATGCGAATTTGGTCTCTATCTATCTATTACTTTCTTCATCTACTCGGAGATTTGGCAGTGCTATGGTGGCTGTACTACTCCATTAGTCTTACGTGTCTAATTTTTACATGTTCTCGAATGTCTTTAGCTACTTTGTTGGTCTTTGTGTCTAAGAGGAGGGTATAGATGTCTTTCCTGTTCACTCTGGTCAATTTGGTACAGTATTGGCGATGGTTTTGCTTTTGCAGGAGGCATATGAAGAGTGCGAGAAGATGCAAAGGGTTGCCATAGAGAACTCTTTCCTACTGAACATTGGATTATACCTCATGAACACTACAGCAGTCAATCGAGAGTCTTCTACACATTTAGAAAGTTTCTGTATATTCCCGAACCTACGAGAAGGTTAGAACCTTTGGGAGGTACTTCCGTTCTAATTTTTAGCAGTTGTAGATCTGCGGGTCGCCTCTTGCTGTGTTGCACGATTATTCTGATTCAAGCATTCATGCTTCTATTCAATGTAAGACCTACTGCAATTCTTTCAAGGTATTTACTGCTCTGGTGGGGTTTGGCTTTATGGATGTGACACATATTTTTGCCAATACTGCTATTTCTCTCAGTTTGCATCATGTNTGCATCATGCTTACTGTACATGCTATAGCTACATCCTAGCATTTCCAGAAACCTATTTATTTGCTGTTATAACCAGCCCAAGAGTTCATTGTATGTGTTGATTAACCAGAAATAGGCCCGTGTCCTCTGGGCTGTAATGTTTTCTTATGGACAGCACTGGATCAGATGGGGCACAGAAGGAGAAGTGGTTTCTGTTAAAGCTCTAGCTATCAGAGACTACACATTATCTTTGATATGATCAAGCGGTGCAACAGATTCTATTAATTACCTCCCCCCCCCCCCCCCCCCCCCCCCCCCGGCGCAGCAGATTTGAAGTTTTTCTCCCTTAAGTTCTGTTGGTTGTGTTGAGCAGCAGAATGGCGAGTAGTAGACCTATAATTGGGGTGGCTGCAATCTGTTTCTGTCTTGTCTTGAGTTTTGACAAGAAGCAGTTGTGTTTCTGATGGGTTGGCTCAGTTTTCTGTTGAAGTGGTGTTTTGCTTCTTCATTTTGACCGTTTTGGGTTCTCTTGCTAGCTGCGAGCATAGTTGCTTCTTTCAATTATATGGACGGGTCTCCAATATCTAAGGAGCAGGGCGTAGATCTTATTTGTGAGTACATTCCTTGCCTTTCTAGTAGAATATGTGTTTTCTAAATCGTGAGCCGCACAAGATATTAGCCAAATATTAACAATTTAGGGTAGTATCTCAGCTTTGAATTTACAGTCTAGCTCATGTGTGCTGCACAGTACGAACCCTCTTTGGAGTTATCAGGGGCAGATTTTATCGTGGTTTTTGATTCTGTCTTGGTTTGGAATTACTTGAGGCCCTACTGGTGGTGGAGAACTATCCCAGCTGCTATCTGGTGGACTATTTGGAAGGAGAGAAATGCAAAATGCTTTGAAGAATACAGCTAGCTGTATGCAGAAGATAAAAAAACAACTGTATACTTCCGTCCTCTTTTTGATGTAAAGAGGATCTGATAAATGATGCAGAAGCTCTGTTAGACACAGTTGATTCCATGCTGCTTTGATGTGAAGCTGTATATTTCTTGTAAATATGCAAGCACAATTCATGCTGCTTTTATAATACTTACCCTTTTCTCAAAAAAAGAAATTACTTAAGGCGCGCCTTTTTCATTTTTAACGAGGCATTGTATTCCTATGTTGCGCGGACTCTCCAAAATGCTGCTACACCCGTATCGGATCCTCCAAAAATACACTACTTTTGGAGGATCCCACACATATCCAACGACATTTTCGGAGAGTCCGAGCAACATAGTTGTATTCCATGAGTTTTAAATGTCTTTTGAGACTTGGACTCAAAAGGTGGATTATGCGATTGGATCTGAAGCTTATCTCATTCTGTTTTCAAGATTTTCCTTATTCTCCTTCCTTCTGTGATGTCTGTTGTTGAACTTTTGGCTACAGGGAAGATCACTTAGACTTGAAATTTCCTGTATTGGTCGTTATCAGCTGTTCGTAATTTTTGGATCATTTGCTTATAGGGAATTTAAGTTCAGCGTTCAAGTGGTTGGAAAATCTTGGTGAAGGATTCCAATGTGCTTTTAATTTTTCCCTTTTGTTTATCTGGATGAGAAGAGGTTACTCTTGAAAATATTTGGTTGGAAGGTCAATCAGGTCTGGATTCTCATGTGGACGTTGCCGAATTTTTTCTAAATTCTCGTAACATTTCATCAAGGTTGCAAAGTGAGAGATAGACTAGATCTCTGTTTTGACAACTAAGTGATAGATAGACTTAATCTTCACATATCTTCTTATTTGTTTTATCTTCAACTATCTTCCCAATAACTAATGACTACTAGTGTCCTGTTTTACCTTGGTTCCATGCTATCTGATATTTCATGGCTTTCTTCTTGGTGCGGCTGTTGTTGAGGTTTACATAGAAGGTTCAATTCTTTTTTTTTTTTTGTCGTCCGTTTGTGTGCTGCTTTCAGCTTTACTGAAATTTGCTATTCCTTTGGTGCTTATCTTTGGGAATTTACCGGAATTTCACCCAGTGAATCCTTCAAGCTCAAAGCTTCCTTATGCTGCAGGTATTTGAAGGCGTTCTCGATATGATGTGCGCGATTTGAATAGTACATTGTGGTTTTTTTGTCAGGGTATTTATCATCTTCTCAAGCTCATGAGATTTATTATGGTCCCGTTTCTGGTTGTGTGACCAGGAGATCAAGTAATTATTCAACCCTGCAGCTTGGTAAGCTCCCACTTGAGTTTGGCACTCATTTACTTTAATTTGCTCTAATTTTGTTTTCTTTTGTTCGTCGTGCAAGCTCTTTTGTTGGACTTCAGGAATATGCTAAATTCAGATGGTTATATAATTAGATGGAGGGAGTTCATTTTCCAGTTACGAGCTTGCAACCATGGTTAGATCCTGTCCGCCCCAAGGAAAAGGGAGTTCCTTCTCTCTTCACTTACATGTGTGATGATTTTGTGGGTGGGCTAGGATTGTGCTGACTTTGAAGTTGTACGTGGTCCCTGCTTTCTAGCTTTCTGTGCTTTTGGTGTTGGAAGTTTCATAGCATTGTGAATGGGACCTATTACATGATGGGTTCACTGATGATGATTAATAGAATTTCAGCCCTTGTTTTATGGTTTATGTGCTGGCTTCATAGTTATTTGTTTCCTAAGATGTTCCTGCCATTCAGCAGCTGCATTGAGTTCTTTTTTATGTCGGAGAGTTGTATGGCTACCTATAAGAGGAAAACATGATATTCTAAATTCTGTGTTGCGGATGTATGCATGCCAATTATGTGTATTGCCATTTGATACCCGAGTCATGTTTGATCACACGTTGGTGGGGTAGCATCCATTACATGAAAGCTGGACAACTGCTCTATTTGTAGTAAGTTGATTAGTTTTCTTTGAACATCCCTTGTTTCCAAATTAAGGATAGAAACTTGTGGTTGAAACGATCTAAATAGATACGTTCTTTTCGTTTTCTGAACCGTTGGCTGTGGTTACTGAAAGAATGAATGTCTAAGTCGTGGCTGTTCTTAGCAGGACTCTGACCTGACATTTCTGTGCTATTTGGAAAGCGAGGCTCGCTTTCAATTCTGTAAAATATATTTTTGTGACTCTTGTTCAACACAAAAAAAAAGAAAAGGAGAACGATCTTTCAAGTAGCCCTCACTAAGGTTTAGCTCGTGAGGTGCTTTAGATGCACGTGGTTCCAAGTTAATGCCAGATAAAAAGGATTTCGGTTTTAGTTTTCCATGCAATGGCTCAGGACGAGGCGGTACTTGTGATATTTCGGCATGGGACACATTTTTATTTGGCAGTTTTTTGGATATTAAATACTATTGGATAGGTTACTTTTTATTGGCATTGGAAGTACACCACATTATGGCAGCGTAACATTTCACAGTTTAATGAATCTTCCACTTATTTGATGGGCTGGTTACGGGATTATTTATGGTTAAACTCTTCACAGCTTATTAACGGATATAATCCTTTTGGTATGTATAGTTTATCGGTTTGGGCATGAATGTTCTTATTTGGATATCTTGTTTGGGCTACTGGATTTATGTTAAAATGGTTTTTAGGGAAGCGCGAAGATGGAAGAGGTCGTATAGAAGAAGCACGAAGGCAGAAGATATTGCAGGGGTGGTCAGTAGTACATTAGTTGATTCCTTGCATGTTTACAAGCAATTTAGAAGTATGGTAAGTTTATGAATTCTGCCTGAGAGAATCACTAGCGTTCTCTTTTGTTACGCCTATTCTAACTCCTCTTTTTTCTTTTGTTCCTTTTCTAGATTCAGAGCCAACAAGCTGGTGGGGTAAAAAAGATTTGAGTTTTGCCAGGGAAACCTCAAATCATCTTCTTCTTCACTGGCCTTGCTGGAGAAAAGATACCGCCCAGAACTTGAGGTAGCTGGAAATATTTTTGGGTCCTCCTCCTTCAGGTGCCATTACCATTGCTAGGGGAAAAACAACATTGTTGGAAAGATAACGATCGTGGAAATTTTTTCGAAGGACCCAAATCTGCTTTTCTTCCCTTGTCTCTTCTTCAATTCAAATGCACACCGTGGCCAGGATATGCCGGAAACACGGAGTGTTGCCAGAATCTTCTTTTACGGTCAACACGTCTTCACCGTCTCTCTTTCAGTTAACTTTTCTTCATGGTTGATGTGTGTTTTCTCCATTGGTTTTGTTTGCCGCGTCAACAATAAGTTGAACATGGGTTAGAATTATCATATTTGTGTTCAACACACACATTTTGACAACATAAGGTGCTTAATAGGCAGGCTCTTGGATGCATTTCTTCTCTCTTGTTTTGTGCAACATGGCCCTTGAAAATGACATTGTTGCCATAGTTGACTTTCTGAGCTCACTACACAATTTGTAATGTGGATCCACTGCGATTATCTCTACTGCACTTTCTTGCTGCTGATATTAATATAATACTTTTAACAATCAAAAAATAGGTTGAGATGTCTAATTAAAAATCCTAAACAAGCCTAAAAGGCCGCTATTCTGCCTTTGGTATATTGAACTAGAAAAAGGAGCTATGGATAGTATTCGATCGGCGTGCTTTAACGTATACTACTTGATGTTTGAAATGTTGATTGTCAAAACCAATTTTATGACAGTGTTAATAATTTTTGGGATTCAGACTAGAGTTAAATGTTCGTATGATGTATGAAATCTTGTTAAAGCTATAATTAGTTACAGGCTTGAAAAACAGGTAAGTCAATGCTTGAACAATATTCTGATGCAAAACTAAGTGAGATACCCTGTCTTGTTTCTTTTATTTTGACGGTATCAGTTTCTTTCATTGTCATACTAAGTTCTTTTCCTGTTTTGTAATTTTCTGTTAGCGGAAATTTGATTACGGCAGCCAGTGCCTTTTTTAATGTATGCTGATACCAATTTAACTGAAGCCAATGGCGCTGTGATCTATGGTTATTTGGAAGTTACAATTGTATCAGATTCAATGGTGTTGACCAATTCCGTAAACGAACTCATGGCAGATACTCTGCAATGTGCACTGTCATGGGAAGTCAACAACACTGTGGACCTACTAGTTAACTGGAGTCAACATTTAGGATCAAATTCTCTTCATGGAAGCTCTAACACGATAGGTAGCGAGGAGTCTTAATTGTTTTTTCATGTATAGTTCTGTTGGGGTGCAGATCGGATCTTCCCAAAATAATGCATTTTTAGAGGATTCGACACGGATGGGCATTTTGAAGAATCCGCACAACATAGCTATTGTACACCAGTTTGGTAAACGGATGAACTGGCACTTGGGTTCCTTTTTCATGTATTCTCCTTTTGGTTATTAACATGCTGTTAGGGGTTATAGACAGCCTAATCCCCCGCAATGGACCTATTAATTAAGAAAAGAAAGGCTTTGGGACTCGTGCAATGTGATGTCTTATTTCTTCTTTTCTTTTTCTTTTTTTCTGCCCGAGCCCGAGGAGAATTTCGTAACAGAGCTGGGCAATCAATAGAAAATGACCCCGCAAAGGGCTGCCCGATAGAGGTGTTATTTCTCAAGTTTGTTTTCATTACAAGATAATCAGAATAAGAGATGATTTTTTTGCTATTGGTTGGTATTTAATATTTACTAGCACGATTACTCGAATTAGTTGCCATGACAAATTTCTTTATTCTGAAGGTTTGAATTTGGGATTTTTGCTTAAGAATGAAACTATAGGATATATACATCCCCCATTTTTTATAAGTTTTAAAATACGCGCGTTGGGCTTCTCAAAAAATATAAAGCTTTTACAAAAAATTATATGAATATTATATTAAAATTTATATTTTTAAATTATAAAATATAATGATTATTAATACAAATAACTAACTCAAATGAACAATAGAGGTCCTCTATCATCCAGTATTATATTCATTATAAAAAGTTTTTTAAGTTTATAATTTTGTCTTTCCAATTTCGCATGTTATCATGTTTCTTTTATAGTTACAAAATTCAAGTACTCATCAACAATACATCTCTATTCTACATAAATTTTAAATTAATAATTGGATGTATTAGACTAAGTTTGTTTTTACACTTATATAAGTGATTCTAAAAAATCCAATTAAACAATTATTCTAGTTTTATAATTTCATCACTCCAAATTCAAAAATTATCATTCTTGTTTCTCAGTTTTAACATTCGTACATAAGATTTAAGAGCTTTATGGTTTTAGTTTTAAAATTTTAATTTAAGAACTCCACCAAAAACGAATTAGGTTGATGAATGCATTAACCAATCAGAAAACCTTAGTGTCCCCGAAGAACAAAAAAAAAAAAATATTAACCAACCTTTTTTAATGTTCTTTAGTAAAGATATTAAATAATAGTTTCCTACTTATTCTCTCTTCTTCCTTTTTTTTCTTCTGAATCTACACAATTTTGGCTTCCATTTACAACAACAAATCTACTATAACGAAGGATAGTGTATACGGAAACCTTATACTTACCTTGAGAAAGGTAGAAAGCCTTTTTCCCAGTAGACTTGACTTAAATAAATACTGATATTAAATAATAAATTTTCTAATTTTTTCCTTTTTAAACCAACTGCAATCACTGTTTGTTACAAAATATTTAACTGAAATAAAAAGCAAAAAATATTTTCTATTAAAAAAGGAAGGATAAGTCTGTCGTGTATTACTATACTAGGTTGGTGCAGCCCGTGCCAGCACGGGCCCAATATTAATTATTTTACTTTGTATGATATCTAATTGCAAATAAATTGAGTTTGCAAGTATCGAGTCGACAATATTTCATGCTAAGTGATATATACTTAATTTACATATATTTTGACCAAATATACATTAAGAGATGCTTAAAGTGCCACAACGTTTACAACATGTATGATACAACTATTTACATATGTGATCTTTGGTCTTCTTTCTAGTCCTTTTTCTAGTAGTTCTTGACCAAAGATATCTGCAAACAAATAAACATGTTAGAAAGTTACATATCTTTAGGGGAAAATATGATAATGATCACATGCTTGTTGTGAAAACACATAAGTTGAAATATACAAGAAGATAAAAGTCGTGAAAGACGAAAGCTTTTTTTATATGTCAATATGCAGAGGACCAACATATATTCAACCATACATTTTGAATAGATTATGTCGCATATGTTGATATTAGTTTATATGCAGCAGATGTAGTCACTTATATTAACGGAGACTTTGAATCTGTTTTATTAATGGGCAAGGCTATACATAATAATTTTGGATCCAATATATAGTCGGTGCACTATTTTCAATCTTTAAAATATTCTGTAGTTTGCTCTACTTTAGCTCCACAACATCTGAAATGTGATAAAACATTCCAGAAACAAAAGAGATACAAAATGAAAGTCCCACATATCAGAGTAAAGAATGTCAACAGGAGCATTTGGATATGCAAACGAAATATCTTTTACGTGCAAAGAGAAAACTAGCTAAGAACCACAAGTCATTAAAGACAGCATTTGTGTTAGACAAAGACATATACCTTTTTCAAATCAGCTAATATTAAAGAACTTACACTTATTCGTGTCATTGTTAGTTAAAACCAAAAACTTACAAGAACAGAGATGAAGCTTTGCCGTTCAAATTCAAAATAAAAAGATAGATCATAAACTAATTTTGAAAAATACAATTACGTCAATTTCTCTTGTCAAAAAATTGCTACAGATTCCAAACATGAGAAATGCAAAATTTAAGGGTGTATGATAGATTTCTGCATGTAGACAAACAACATGGGTACATAGATGACAAAATACAAAATAGAACAAAAGACCAAGCAACAAACATTGAAACAAAAATAGGAGAATACCAACAAAGATGAGAAATAAACAATAAAGAATAAATAAGAACACCAGACAATGGATCAAAAGCAAAATAAAAGGAACAAAAGACATAAACCTGAATATTGTGACCACTAACAGCACAACCAAGAGAGGAATGGACGAAAGATAAGAGAGAAGGGCTCTAAAGAACACTCATGCAAAATAACTTTCATTAATAATATTTTTGTGACAATATCGCAACACACAACTATATTTTACATCTTTCAAAATATTGCAAGTTTTTTTACTTGTCATTTTATAAATAGCTTTGTTTACTCCGGTTAAGAAGGGCAAAAAACAATAGAACCTTTATGCATTCATTCCAAAATATCCCTTGGACCGTTGCACCAAGAAAAAAAACATAGAAAACATTCAAAAAAGTTTTGATGAATGTCACAAGCAGATCAACTAATCAAAGTAACATAATTCTTCATAACCGAAATCTTTTTCAATCTCAGGATGTGAATATGTATGTCTCACTATTTATTCATTCTTTACTCTTCATCAAGAATATTCTATCTGTTAAAATAGAAAAAATAGTGTCTTTATTTCTTTATCCAAGTCTATCATATTGTCACCAAAGTAAAGACGGGAGATAACCAACTCATAAAATCAACTAAACAGTAAGCATGAAGCAGGATGAGAAAAGAAAACATGAAAAATCTAAGAGAAAAAACTTGTAGTTTTGTGAAGACAATTATCGTCACTCAATTTTTAGAGCTGAGCCAGCTAATTCAGTTACCATTTATTTTAAATGAAGTAATTATTAAAACTTAAAAGTTAATATAATAAATATATGCCTATAAATTTGTATAAATATAAATGATATTATATTTGGTAGTTAAGATGTATATTTTTTGTGAACATACATTAATTAGTAATCATATATTTATAAATAATATTTTAAAAATAATTTTTTATATATTCTAAATTAATAATATTTAATTTAGATACTTACAAAAACTAAGAACATATGTTTTATAAAATATCATGGAATTCATGTTTGATAAAATAAATTAATATTTATAAATATAATATCATAACATTATTCAAATGAACAACGTGCAATATGAGCCAATACTACTAAAATAAGTAAATTGGAACCATGAATATAACACAATTTAAAATCCAAAAATAAAATAAAATAGTTTAACATATGTCAAATTCCAACATAATAATACTAAGTTTCACTACAACTTAAGATTAGGAAACATAAAAAGTTTATAACCACATTCAACAACGAAATTTTACTTTAATTGCATCACTCATTATATACCAAGTTTGTTAATGACTCATTATTTCTAATATTAGGAGGCGTAGTTTTAAAAAAATAGAATTATATATAT